CCAGGCCCGCTTAAGCATGGTGTCCGCCGGGTTCCCATTGTTGGGTGTGGCTGCCATGCATGGATGATGGGCATGCAGTCCACATCCCAGGATTAGGAGCAGTGTGCATCGGACCTGCTTGGGCCAGCAGACCCCCGCTTTCTCCGGGAGATGACTCCTTCCATTCACATTGCAAGAAGGTTGACAACACAGGTCTAACTCTCCTCTGATCCCCTGAGACTGAAGGAATGTTTACCTGTGAATGTCACTCCATCCCTTTTCTTAAACTTAGAAGGATCTTTCAAGGAGGAAAAATATCTCGTGGTGCATAAATATGGAGTTCAAGAATTTCTTGTTTTACTTCTGATTCATTTTCTTCAATTAGAGTCAAGTAAAATTAAATCTTCGCTAAAAAAATAGACATATGGTATGATCCCATTTTTATGAAAGTATTTCTATCTCTCCTTCTATCTGTAAAAATGCATAGAAATATGTTGAGGATGCTGTACCAGAAATGTTAATGATGGTTATATTTGAATGGTAAAACTTGAGATAATACTTTTATTTTCTTTTTGTACTTTTCTGCAATGCTTAAACTGTAGGGAATATATATTGTTTTCACAGAAAGAGTAAAGTAATTTTTTAGAAAAGAAAAAACTGATCCCCTGGCAAGAGGCCTCAGGTTTTAACACGTCCCTATTTTACTTTCCTCCTTCTGCTCCTCGATTCCTGCCCCTCACCCTCAGTCCCCTCCATTTCCCTCTTCTCTTCCTGATTTCTCACACACGTGCACACACACGCATGCACACACACGTGCACACGCACCCTTTTCTCCTTCCCCTGCCTTCCCCACATCTAGCCTCTCCCACAGGTTGAGAAGTCCCATCTCTCAGTACTGAGCTCCCTGCTGGCTCATGGGGGTAGGAGGAGTGAGCTCCATTCCTTTTTCTGCTGGAACTTCAGGCGGAGACATCTTGAGGGAGTCTTGAGCCCCTCAGTGTTTCCTCCTTTCCCCTCTGTCTCCCACGACCCCCAAGTCTAGGAAAGGAAGGTGAGCAGCCAGGCCAGGCTGGGAGAACAAGAGAGCGCTGGCCTGATTCACGTTGCGGGAAGGTTGGTAAAGCAGATCTAACTGCAGCTCTGGGCAATGTCCGGCCTCAGGGCTCTGGGGTATGGGGGGTTCTGAATCTCATTCCCAGCTCCATGTCATCCCTCAGCTTCACTTTTTGTTCCCAGCCCCTTTGCCCAATGTATCCACTTCCTCTTGGATTTTGGTATTCTGTCTCAAGGGTCTGCTGCTGGACAGGGCTCAAGTGTGGGAAGGCAGCCATCATCAGACTGCCCTTGTAACATGACTCTTCCCCTCTCCCTTTCCCATGTCAGGACTGGGGGAGCCAAGAGCCGCATGGCCCGAAGCAACCTTGCCCAAGCCACAGAAGCTCATGGTTCAGTAAGAGTGAGCCAGGCCCACCCAGACGGGGCAAGGGCTACCCTGCAGTCTTACAGGACCCATGCAAGGGACAGGGGAAAGGATAGAAGTGGACCTGGGAGAGCTTTCGAACACAGCCATGGGAGAAACACCCATGTCCCAGTGTAAGCTCTGGCTACCCAAGCAAAGCAACCTGGTAGTTACATGCACGGACAGTGAATTTACCATGATGGGTGGCTCCCTAGGGTGGAAGAGAACCCAAAATGCTGGGCGCCTCTGGCCCTCAGTCCCCAGAAGGGGAAGAGCTTCCTTTGAGAAGTCCAAGTCTAACACAAGCAGAGGGGTCAGTGTTTGTAGGACATGTACTATGGTATTGGAGAGGAAGAGATTCAGAGACTTAAAGCCAGACCACTCCATATCCCAGGACTCTCAGCCTTGGGATGGGGAAGCTGGTGGGTCTTAGTAATCGTGCTAAGGACTGAGAGCTCGGCCGGGCGCGGTGGCTCAAGCCTGTAATCCCAGCACTTTGGGAGGCCAAGGCGGGTGGATCACGAGGTCAAGAGATCGAGACCATCCTGGTCATCATGGTGAAACCCCGTCTCTACTACAAATACAAAAATTCAGCTGGGCATGGTGGCGTGTGCCTGTAATCCCAGCTACTCAGGAGGCTGAGGCAGGAGAATTGCCTGAACCCAGGAGGCGGAGGTTGCGGTGAGCCGAGATCGCGCCATTGCACTCCAGCCTGGGTAACAAGAGCGAAACTCCGCCTCAAAAAAAAAAAAAAGGACTGAGAGCTGAGGCATGAAGTCAGAGCAGCATCAGACCCAGACCATTCGCTGCCCACAACATGATAAGGATGGTGCGAGGGATCTGTAATTCAGGAGTATGGGTCATGGACTGAGGGGCGAAGCCATTGACATAACGGGACAAAAAATAAGGAGGCCACTCTCACAGATGCAGGAGGGGGAAATGAGAGCGCAGGTGGAAGAAAAGAGGTGGCAGGCAGATGTGAGGACTGGTCCTTGGGAATTCTTCCTGGGCTTCTTCCCTGGCCCACAGGCCTCTGGCTCTCCCTGCTAGATGGGAGGCAGGAATAGAAGGATATTCTTCACTGGGTGTCCTTTGTACCTTTTTAGCTGTGAACCATGTTCATAAATACTTGTTTTGTTGTTGCTGTTCTTATTTCACATTTTAAGGAAAATACTGCTGAGCCATGTGAAGAAGGGTTACTTTTTGGGCACAAGGGGTTCAGCGCCCCATCTTTGTCTGTCTGGACACTGGGGATGGTGGGCAAACGTCCTCAGAGTCTAGTTTGGCAGGAAGACCCAGAAAAGGCCATACTGGAAGTGTAGGCTGGGGTTGTGGGTACCATGGGGTGCATTTCCCTGGTTACCAGCCACTGGGGGCAGCACCCAGGCCTGAGTTATTAGGGGATCTAGAATAGAGACCAGCCCAAAAGGGTTGCCAAAATTAGCAGAAGAAAATACAGGATGTCTAGTTAAAGTTCAATGTCAGACAAAAATTTTTAGTGTATGTCTCAAATGTTGTGTGGGACATATTTATACTAAAAGAGTATTCAGTGTTTATGACATTCAAATGTAACTGCACGGTCTGTATTTTGTCAGTCGTATGTCCCAGATGTTGGCTGGAGAGGAGAAGCCATTTCTGCAATTTTCTTTGTTTTTGTTTCTGTTTTTTAAATTGTTTACCCAAATTTCCACAGCCTTGCCAGCCTGTGGATGCAAATGAGCTCACTTAGAAATAACAAACGCCCTGGGCTGCCAGCTAATGCGGGACCTTGTCCCTCTGCGCTTTGCAGTCTGGGGACTCCCCAGAAGCTGCTGTTTTCCGGTTCGCTGCCCACTGCCTCCTAGGCCACAGGAGGGCAGCGGTCGCCAGGCCAGAGCCATGTACCTTGGCGCCCTCTGCTGGTGAGCCCAGACAGCAAATTCCGGAGATGCCCAAGGGCTCTGGGCTCCCCAACAGGCCCACCAGGCCAGAGCTCCTCCCTGGGACTGGAGAAAGGCTTCCTTCTGGGCCTGACAGCAGATGGTGTCTCCAGCTGCTCCGCCTCTGCCCTCCCTGCTTCACCCACCCCCTCTCCCCACAAGCTCGTTCTGCCTTTGTAAGTGCCATGTGAACAGGCAACGTTCAGTCCATGCCTCCTCTTGGTTCCCTCTGCACCAAATGCTCGGCGTGGTTCCATGCATTTGGAGGAGCCAGTGCCAGGCTGGCCAGCTGTGGAAAAGCCCACCATTCACGGAGGCCACAGCCAACTGCCCCTCCTGCTCCATTGCCCACACCATCCTGGAGGCCGGGACCCCAGGAAAAGCCCCAGAGTGTCAGATGAGCCTGTTCATTCATCTCTATCCATTTAAATCCCCCACCCTGACCCCAGGATGCTTGGGCCAGTCTACAGAGGCTCCTTTTAAGGGAGGATGGCTCATTCATTTTCCATCTTCCTACCAGGCAGGACTGGGTCTGTCTTGGTGGCAGACAGGTCCTAACATCAGGCAGAGCAGAGTTTACGTTTAAACACTAGCAGAATGATGGCTGCGAGGCTGTGGAGGGTATCAGGGGCCTTGCTGAGACAAAGGCAAAGAGTGATTTTTTAAAATAAAGACACTTTATTTATAGGTAATACAAAATAAACCACAGGACAAACTACTGTGCAGGGGGAGGGGCAGCCCCCACGATAACCACCCTCCCCCATCCCAGAATAACTTATATAAAAAATAAAAAAGGCCCTAGATGGGGAAGAGGGGAGGGGCTGGGCTGGAAGCACCTTTGCTGGTTAGGATTGGGGCCTGCCGTCCTCAGCCACTCTGGTCCAGGGCAGAGTGGACCCTGGCTTGCTCCTCTCCACGGGCCTGGCCAGGAGGAAACACAGCTACAAGGGCAGTTGGTGGCCACTGCAGAGGCTCCCGGCCAAGGCCCCCGACTTCTGAGTCTGAAGAGTTGGGGTAAGGAGGTGGCTAAGTGACTTTGCGGGCAGACATGGGGTGGGCAATAAATTATTGCAGTGCTCCAGCCAACTTTCTCCTGGCCCTGGACACGGGTCTGCGTTGGGTTCTGGGGAGCAGCCATGTCAGAGCAGGAGTATGGGGTCTTCAAAGCGATGATGTTGTCGAGTCCACCACCTCATGGCCATTGCAAACAGTGGGGACAAACTGGGAGCCAGACCCTAAGAAAAGGAAGCCAGAGGTTGGGGCCAACCCCAAGGTCCTCCATGGAGGGCAGGCAGCGGGTAAGCAGGGCTATGAGGGGAGCCTCCCCTACCCTCTCCCACCCTCTCCTGCCAGTGTCATTTGGGGGGAACCGCAGCCCCAGATAAGAGAGCTCGGCAACCCAAGGAGCTGGGCAGGGAGAGGGGAACAGGTGGAGACGGCTGCTTAGGACACTGACCTTGGCCGAGGCCAGAGCTGGCCCTGGCAGCAGCACTGCCAAAGCGGCTGGTGGGCGCCCGGTGGCTAACCACGTTCTTCTGTGGCTGGAAGAGGATGATGTGCAGCTTGGGCGCAAAGAGGCAGCCGAGCACCACGGAGCCACTGAGGCTGACCGACACGCACATGGTCGTGGTCTGTACCTGCAATGGGTGAGTGGGCAGGCACAGGTCAAGACCCGGGCCTGACCCCAGGACCCCCCACCTGGGCTGTTGGGGAGGAAGTGGGGGAGACTAAGCATCCAACACTGGGCTATGATCCATTTGCCAGGTCCCAAAGCATTGCTAGAAAAGTTGGGCACAGTCTCAGCATCAGACCCAGACCATTTTCCCAGGGAGACCAGAGTCCCAGCTGAAGGGGAGAACATGCAGGGGTGCGTGTATGCACAAGAGGGTGTGCACTTGAGAGGGGGGCAGGTATGGAGTGCATGCATGTAGGTGTGTGTGTGTATCTGTGTAGGTGCATGTATGTGGGTGGTGAATTTCTGCAGGCATCTGCATGAGTGTATGTGTGTGTGAGTGTAGGGTGCATGGCTATGGATTCATTTGTTGGCAGGAAGAAGAGTGTATGTGTGCCAGTTGTGCCAGGGAATGTGTGTATGTAGGATATGTGTATGTGCATGCATACACGTGGCTAGTGTGTGTGTACAAGTGTGTGTGTCCATGCATGTGTGGGTATGTTGTGTGTCCCAGGTAAGTCCTTAGCTGCCTATGATTGGCATGCAAATGCAAATCATATGCAAATGCAGGCTGAGTCAGAGCAGAGTCCCCCCCCAGCCCTGACCTCCTCCACCCAAGCAGGTGGCCCAGCAGGTGCAAGCAGAGCAGCCAAGCCCACTGTCCCTGGCCCCCAGCACTGTGCCACCACACCTCTGTCCTGGGGAAGGGACCTTTGCCGGGGCTTTCACCTCAATTTTCCTGCAGTTCAGACCCTGCTCTGCACTCCAAAGCTGAGTGACCTTGGGCAAGGGATTGAACCTCCCTGAGTCTTTGTTTCTTCATCTGTAAAATGGGAGAGCCACGGAGCTTACTGAAGTCGTGAAGATTAACCAAGATGATCCTCTTATTCAGAACACAGCTCATCTGTCACCTCCTCAGAGGGAGCTTCCCTGACCACCCTATCTGAAGTAGCCATTGCCCCTTGGAGCTGGGGACACCCATTGAGACACGGTGCCAGCTGGAAACAAATTTGCTCAGAAGCCACCAATGGGGGAACAATTTTCACCTGCTTTAGCTTTCCTCAACTCTTAGCCCTGGACCTCCTCCCCTGCCCACCTTGCTTTATCTTTCCTGTCTTCCCTGGCTTCATCTCTCAACCCCTTCTGCAGCTGACCCCTCAGTGGAGCAGGGCAGAACCCTGTTCATTTGAACATATTTCTGTACCCCCATCTCCTCCCAGGATAGAGGATGACATGCAAGTCCTGAAATCTCAGCTCTCTCTAACTCGAGTTCCCCATCTCCCTGGGCATTTCCCTAGGCCCTATTCAGCCCTCCCACCTTCCCCTTTGGATCCACACAAGCTGTTGTCCCCTGAGCAGCCATTTAACCTCTTGGAGCCCCAGAGCTACCAGTAGATTAAATAAGATACCAGGAAACAGAGGGTCTGGTGTCCCACCTCCCTCCGGAGCAGGTAGCTCACCCGGTAGTCACTGGAGGTGACGTAGAAGATGGGCAGGAATGCCAGCCAGATGATGCAGGTGGTGTACATGGTGAAGCCAATGAACTTGGCCTCATTGAAGTTTTCGGGGCACTTGCGAGTCTTGAAGGCGTAAAGCGTGCAGAGTGCGATGAGGAGCACATTGTAGGCCAGAGAGCCCAGCATACTTGCATCGCGGTGGTTGCAGCGCAGCGTCACCACCTCCCGCCGTTCGGGAGCAGTCTCCTTGCCTGTGCCCGGCGCCTCCACCACCAGCCAGGCGACCACAATAAGCAGCTGGCCTGAGATAAGCGCCAGGCAGATGGCCACCTGTGAGGCAGGACTGATGAAGCGTGGCCGCTGGGCACCCTCCCGGGCCCCACCAAAGATGCGTGCAATGCGGTTGGTCTTGGTGAGCAGAGCTGAGTAGCAGACAGAGAAGGCAGTCCCCAAACCAAGACGCCGTAAGGTGCACACTGCCGTGGATGGCTTGGCAATGAAGACGAAGGTCATGCAGTAGCAGAGGAAGACACCGCCCAGCAGGATGTAGCAGAGCTCCCGGCCCGAGGCCTTGACCACTGGTGTGGCATTGTGCCGCACGAAGACACCCAACACAAAGAGGGTGGCCAGGGCACCCAGGCAGGCGATGGTGACGGGACCCACGGCCCAGGCATCGCCCCAGCGGATGTACTCCTGGGGCAGTTCAAAGCAGCCAGTCAGGCTGGCATTGGGCCAGTAGCCTAGGCCACAATCGGCACAGGTGAATTCGTCTAATCGGTACTCATAGGGCTGGCACGGGATGCAGAGCCAGCAGCAGACCTCGCCCGGCTGCACACTCTTCACCTCATTCCGGAGGCAGGGCTCACTGCAGCGAGAGGCAGGCAGGGGGCCGGCTAAGGGTGAGGCCCATGGGATGAGGCTGGTGTCCAGAGTCAAGCCTTCTGCCCAGTAGCCCACCTTCTGGTAGCGATAGCGCCCACCACCTGCACGTAGATAGGTGAAGATGTTGTAGCGGCCAATACCATCACCAAAGCGGTCAAAGCGAACCTCATTGTGGGTGTCAGCTGGACGAAAGGGGGCTAGGATGGGGGAGGGAAGGAAGAGGTTAGACTGATATGCTGCCCTGATGTGACCTCAACATCCACCCTAACATGGAACCCAACCGCCAGAGCTAAGGCCACCACTAGCCCTTCCAATCCTTAACCCAAAACTAAATCCTGTCTTGACCCCAGTCATTTTTCTAAAGGAGAGATGACAACAAAGTCTTACCCCTAAACTCCAACATCAAACCCCAACCCTAAATGCCAAATGTAATCCCAGCCTTAAAGCCCAGACATCTCCAAAAACCTAAGGCCCACATCAGCTCCCAACCATGACTCCCCAAATTCAGCTTTAGTACTATCTAACACTTTCCAACCCAGGCCCTAAATCCCAGCTTCATCAAAACATGCACCACAGCCCTCTCCCCAGACCCGGCGCTAAGGCTAAACCCAGTCTCAGTTCCAATCCCGTCCCCACTAACCCTAACAACAACTCTGGCTCCAGCACCCCCAGTTCTTTTTATTATTATTATTTACTTAAAGACACCTTTTATTTTAAAAGTTTTTTTTTTATTTTTAAATATTAAAATACTATACCTAATACTAGTCATAAAGAATAGCATTACTAATGCAGCATTATAGTATTAGGTAGTGAGGAGTTCTACTACGTTTTTTTTCTTTCTTTTACTTTAGGTGTGTACTATATCCAGCATTTCTCCCTACGTTATCCCTCCCCCCCCCCCCCCCCCCCACAACTGCCCCCAGTGTGTGATGCTGCTCTCCACATTGTTCAACACCCACCTATGAGTGAGAACATGGAGCAGCACCCCCAGTTCTAACAGCCACCCTGGTGCAAACTGAATCTCAACCTCAGTGGTCACCTGCAACCACTGCCATTCACCAGAATGTGCTCAGTGGCTGGAAAATCACTTCCTCTCTCCACCCCTACTTCATCCCCTGTGAACCTCACATCTCCCAGCCAGGCACTAGCCAGGATTTACAACCATCCCCCAGCCCCAGTGAGAAATCAGAGTTCAAGAAAGCAGAAGACATGCTTAAGGACCAGAGAGTGAATAGCGCAGACTAGATTCAAACCCAGGTCCCCTCAAGCACCTACTCTTTCTACTCAGCCTCAAAGTTCTCAAAATCCAACTCTAGCCCTACCATAAATTCCACCCAAGCCAAACAGGCTGAATTTAGCCTTGCTCTAACAACCCAATCGGACCCGAGTCCAACCCTAACCCCTACCCTGATTGTAGCATAAGTCTGAATGTCAGTTCTGTTGGAATTACTCTTCATCTTAACCCTGGGCCAGGGCTTCCAAGCTTTGTCTCCCACTGTTCCCACGGTGATTCTTCCTGAAGCACAGTGATGATCTACAGCACTCATTTCTCTTAAAGCTGGCACTTTTATTAAAATAACTTTTGATTTTGGGAGACTTTCAGGCCATCTTGAGTGGAAAACCAAGACTAGGAATAGAAATTTTCCCTGAAGCTAGGTGCAGTGCTACATGCCTGTCATCCTAGCTACTCGGGAGGCTGAGGCAGGAGGATTGCTTGAGACCAGGAGTTGGAGGCTGTATTGTGCCTGTGAATCTGTGAATAGCCACTGCACTGCAACCTGGGCAATATAGTGAGACCCCATTGAAAGAGAAAGAAGAAAGAAATAAAGAGAGAGAGAAAAGAAAGAAAGGAAGGAAGGAAGGGGGGGAAAGAGGGAGGGAGGAAGGAGGGAGAGAGGGAGGGAGGAAGGAGGGAGAGAAAGAAAAAAGAGAAAGAGAAAGGGAGAAAGAGAGAGAGAAAGGGTGAGAAGGGAAAGAGAGAAAGGAAGGAAGGAAATAGGGAGGGAGGAAGGAGAGAAAAAGAAAGAGAAAGGGAGAAAGAGAGAAAGAACAGGTGGGAGAGAAAGAGAGAGAGTGGAAAGAGAAAAAAGAAAGAAAGAAAGAAAGAAAGAAAGAAAGAAAGAAAGAAAGAAAGAAAGAAAGA